CGTCATGCTGCTATATTTGGAACTATTATTGCAATTCTTTGTCAATTTTCTGGAATCAACTCTATTAATTATTATATGGCTACTTNGATGCATGAAGTTGGTTTTAGTAGTGTTCATGCTGTCTATTCCAGTANGANAGGTAGTGGGACTTTGTTACTGTTTACTATTCCTGCCATTTATTTTATGGACAGAATGGGAAGAAGAGTTTTATGGTNAAGTCTTTTACCTGGAGTATTGGTTGGTTGTTTCATTATTGGTTTTAGTTTTAGAGCCAGCAATCTTCATATGGAAGAAGGCATCTATATTTGGGGTATTANAACTTATTATATGTTTTGGGGTTCTGGAATGGGACCTTATGCATGGGTATTGGGTTCAGAAATATATCCAACCTATATTCGAAGTGAAGGAATGGCACTTGNGACTTGGTGGACTTATANAGGCAATTTTANAACAACTTATTGCTTTACGAAAANGAAAACGGCTANGACTGCCCCAGGAATTTTCATTGGTTTTTATGGAGGATTTGTTACTATTGCGTGGTTCTATGCCATGTTTANGATGCCTGAAACTAAAGATAAGACTCTGGAGGAAANAGATGCTTTGTTTTCTATGTCTATGCCCGATTNAGCTAGGCATAATTGGGAAAGCGTTAAACAGACAGTGGATGATCTTTTGCATTTCCGATNGAAACAAGTTTGGAAAGTACAGAGGTGAATAATGTAACCAATCAAGGTTAATTATGTTTGAGTTGATTGTTATTGTGCATGTTGTGATTTGTTTTTTTTGAATAAAATGAGATGGATATTCAAAAAGTTGGAATTTGTTTCATGAGTGTCGTTCATTCATCTGATGTGTTGTATTTGGATGATCAGCCACAGTTGTGTAAATATGCCAATCAATATCCTTATTTAGAACAGTCCACAAGTATCTTTGAAGGGTGTAAGTGTCCCTATTCTACTGTTTTATTAGGAGAAGAGGGAACTTGTTTGGTTGCATTAGCAAGTTGTTCCAACCGATGGATGGTGTTAGATGCTAGAACTGGTGAATTGTTGTTTGAAGTATCTCTATCAGAGAGTGATTTGTTCCAACTCGTGAAAGAAACTTTTTCTTGTACCGAGAGTGGTAGTCTTTGTTCCTTGCACCTTTCGGTAGTGGAAGAATACTTGCCAACTAGATACCTCGTGGACTTGTGGCTGGTTTATTCCAACGGCGTGGAATTCTCAGTTGTCTTGCTATTCCCTTTTTGTGTCAAAGTACTTTTAAGTAGTTTATTGAAGTTTGATGGATCACTTTCTTTGTAGGTTACTCTTCGTAATAGTGACGATGGATATGGTTACTTGAATATGACGCGCATAGGTATATATATATATCTATCCTATTTTTGTTACTTGTATTATTGTTATACTGAAACCCTTTATCACGTAATAGAGTTGTTGGCTTTACCAGAAAACATATATCCTTTTCAACTTGTCAATAAGGCTAGTGAATATTTCTCTTCTGCAGAATTACACGTGTCTCGATGTATTTTGGGTATGGATGTAGGAGGACCGGTAGTTTTGTTAAACCCATGGAAGGACAGTTCAACCCATTATTCTTGTGCTATTTTGGTCTGTAACTATTCTATTCTTTTTATGAAGGCCAGTAACAGTAGTGATACGAGTTGTCTTGTGATGGAACATTGGGTGAATATTGAACAGTTGTCTTGTATTACTAGTGCAATATTATTATCTTTAAAGATATGGTCAAAAGAGGAATATACGGATGATGATGATGATCGTTATTCTTGTCTGTTGATTGGGACTATTCAAGGCAGTATAGAATGGATATGCATGAATGATAGGAAACCAAAGAAAATTTGTCAAATGAAAACAGCCATCAAGAATTTGTTGATCAATTCCAAGTTTTTAGTGAGTTGTGATGAAATAGGCGATGTTATCATGATTCCATTGGAAAGTGTTCATTTATCGCTATTTTTGGACAAACCATTGGATGAGCGCTTTATGATTACTTTTTCATTGGGTTGTATTGTCCAACTATTGGAAACTATGGATGATCACACATTTTTAATGTTATCCAACTCAGGAAGTTTTGAATATTGGATTGTCCAAAGGGAACAAGAAACAGTTTTACATCATGGAGAATCTAATTTTCCAACTTTTCATTGTAAAAGAATCACATTGATAGGACCCAATGCAGCTTATGTAGGATGGACATTGTATGCAGATTTTCATAATCAGAAAGAAGAAATGGTATTTATTGCAATGGATGGTAGTTTTTTGGTTCTTTCATCGACTGCCATATCCAATTGTATTCGAGATAGAAACTTTTCTCCTACAGCATTGTCTTCTGATTCGGATGGAACTTTTGAAGAGTTGAATTCTTCAGCTTCTCATTTATTTCAACAAATGGACAATTTGACTGGTATACAACAACGATATGAGCAAATATTCCGAGAGTTTCAACAAGAAATGAGTCGATTGAACTCTTTATTACATTGGTACGATGAGATGAGAAATGAGACTCTGAAGAATGGTGGTGGTTTTCAAGTTGCCATCAAGCAAGTGAGACGTATCGAAACTGGAAAGAAGATTGTTAGTCACCATAATCGTAGTTGTGATGAAGGAGTTGATGACCAAATAGATCATAGTCTCTATCACATTATAATAGAATGGACTTATCACGGCAACGAATTATGGATGCCTTTTTCTATTCTTGTACAATGGAAGAATATTTCTTGTGATGATGATATCGAAATCCTTTCACAACATACTTTTCAGTATGACCAATTAACTACGAGTACTCATGAACTAATGGAAATTCCGTTATACAAAACCAACGGATTATATGTTCATTTTCGTATCTTTTTTATGATGTCATTGGATCAAGTGAGTCCTTTGTTGTCTCATATGAGTCATCGATATCCTGGTAAGATGTTCAACTTTGTTTTTATGAGAAAAAGAAGAAGATATAACATGGTCATTAGTTTGGTTGGAATTATCTTGTGAAAGAAGTAAATTGGATGTTTTGGATTTTTGTGAACCCATAAAGATAAGATGCAACGATGATCCAATAAGAAAACGAGAGACTCCGACGATTACTTGTCGAATGAGCAATCCTTATCAAAAGAGTTTTCATTCTTCATCATTGTTGTTACCTCCTGAATGGAATTTATCTGAAAATGATTGGTTTGTTCCTATCAAGACGCCATGGAATGAATGCATTATTTTGATTCATCGAGTGGAAACTATCGTCATACAATGTTCTAGTCTCAAGTCATTGGCTTTATTTCATTCATGTTTATGGAAACGTTTGAATGATGCTTCGGTATCCCAACCAAAGCAACTCATAACACGTTTAGAACAAGAAGAAAAAAGATGGAGAGATAACGATAAAGTAATTTTACATTCCTTGCAACAAGCACAAAATGAATTACAACAAGCGGAACAAGTATTGGAAAAAATGAGAAGATCGAATGACTGTGCAGAGTAAGTGAAGAAATGACAAGAAGGAAAGAGAGTCTGATGAGAATCATTAGGTCCATCCAAAATGTGATTCGTTGTATTTTAGAAGCTTATCGAATGTGGAGAGGTTGTTGTTTTGTGATAACATCCCATACGCAATGAATAATAAAGTACAGAAATGAAAACTTTATTCTCCCTCAACAATATATATATATATATAGTTTATGGACTATGTTTCATTCTTCTTGTTGCGGATCTTCCTCATCAAGAAACAATTCTCCACTGGGAGCATCATATCCAAAGAGTTCCGCATATCTTCCCCATTCTATTTCATTCATTTTAGTATTTCCATGATTCAACAACTTGTCTCTTTCATACCTATCGCTACTTCCAACTGCCTACGAGACTCGGATGGTGAAAAATATTTTTCCAATATCTAATACACACATCAACCACTCAAAACTGGATAACATCTTATGGCATACCGTATCAAGAATTAATTCTTCGGGAACTCGATGGACTCTTTTCGTTTGGCGAAGTAACCAATAAATTTGTTGAATCAATCGAGCTCCCTCCGATTGAAGTAAAGCTTCTCGTACCATACTCTTCTTATCATCAATTGAAGCTACTGAAAAGCGACTTCCTTGGTCAGTAAGCATCACATCTCCCTATTTATTCCAATGAGTTGTAATCTTTCTTTCTCTCACAAATTATTACTTACTTCAGTCACCTTCAGTATATTCAAAATAACCCCAGCTTCTAAAAGAGGATATAAATCATCCACATCTAACTGCAAGCGTTGACCTAATCGATACAAGTCAATACAACGTTCGTCTCCAAAGAAACTCAAAAGGCCTGCAACTGAACCAATGCGAACAGAGGGAAGTGTTGGATATCTTTGTCTTGATAAGTCAATCAATGGAAATCAACCTTATGGAAACCTACTTGGAAGACTCTTGACTGACAAGTCTTGCAGAAGAGGAAACAAGAAAAGTACTTTTTTGCTTCTTAGAAACCACAACTGGAATACTTTCACTTAAACAAGTAGCATCTGGTCTAGATAACAAAGTATAAACGTGATCAATCAAGTTTTGAAAACTTCGAGACTTGCGATCTCTCGGATGGCTCAACGGTATCCTCAATAAACTACGAATATGTCCTGCAAGTTTTCATATATTCTGTTAGAAACTCATCCGTGAAGAAGAAGTCTTACCAGGATCCTTTCCAAGGATAATAATTCGATCTGCTAGACCAACTGCTTCTTCGATGCTATGTGTCACAATTAAAATACTTTTGGTAGGAATTTCTCCAGCCTATTTCTATCAATCAATACAGTTCTTTTACATAAAGAAATAACAAGACAACCTGCCATAAACGAAGCAATTCGGATTTCAAGTTCTCACCGGTAAGTACATCCAGTGCACTAAATGGTTCGTCCATACACAACAATTCAGGTTCAACTGCAATAGCTCTAGCAAAACCCACACGTTGTCGCATTCCACTTGGTAGAAATACTTTCCATTACTGTACTTATTTGGATAATGAGACTCTTACCCACTCAATTCCTTTGGATAGGCATTTTCATATCCATCCAAACCAATCATATCGATAGCTTTTTCCGCTTTCGCTTTTCTTTGTATTTTGGACTTGGCACCCTAAAGAAAGATAAGCTGGGCTATTCCTATAGAAGCAGCAACTTACTCGAATGCCCAATTCCACGTTTTCCGATACCGTAAGCCAAGGAAATAAAGCAAAATTCTGAAAGACAATGGCTGCTCCCTCGTTGATGCCGTGTAGTTCTTTCCCTTGGTAGTACACAAAGCCTTCCGTAGGCCTCGTCAATCCGGCAGCTATTCTCAATATGGTAGATTTTCCACTTCCTAATACGATTCAACCATCAATATCTTACAGTATTCCTTCTACTCGTACCAGAAGGTCCAAGCAAACATAATATTTCACCTTCGAATAGAGAAAAATTGATGTCGCGGATGATAGGCACCTTCCCTACTTGAAGGCCAACATTTTTGAACTGCAAAGTGCAAACTGAACTTTGTTGTTGTTGTTCTTCTTCCACAGAAACTTGCGTAGACCTACACTGCCAATATATCTTTCTATTCTTTGTGCTTTGTCTCATTCTGGTATCCCGACTATTCTTGTTCCACTGAGTAGCTACGCGACAACAGTACTTGTTTCCCGTTCTCCAACACAACTTGTCCATTGGAGTGAAACTGCTTGACATAGTTTGTCTGTAGTGTTGCAGTGAATTGGTGTTGAAAACTTTCCAAGAAAATATTGGTGGATAAAACTGAAAACAACTTGTAGCATGGGAGTAGAAGAAGACTTGAAAAGAATCATTGTGGACCAATAGATTCATAGAGTAATTCGATTATCTCTTTCTTCTTCTCTTGGGTACCGGTATTTTCTCTTTCTATATACACAAATAATGGAATATGAAATGATCAACTCTTTCAAAGATGCTCTTGAAATGATATCTTTATAGAAATTCATAAAGAAATGTTCTTATGGAGAGAGAAATTGATGATAATAATGCTTGCAACACAAAGGATCAACTGTAAAAAGTGTTTGTAAATAATTGGAAAGAATTTCGTAAGAAACACAACTTCATTCCCTTTATAAGGCACCAAAGGAGAAAATACTTTTTGCATTTCTTTTTGTTTGTTCTCATGACTATTGTTTGTTTCCTTCCTATTTTACTTTCCATACCGGAACGCCACTATTCTTCCAAGAAACCTGGATTAACTTTACTTGGTAGATATCGCTGTTGGAAAAGATACTGTAAACGATGTTGTGATAGAAATATGTCTGGTGTTTGGTTGATTCAGTGTCAGTATAACCATAGTCCAAATAGTCGTCGTGCACTCACTCAGGAAGAGGAGAAAAAGAAGAGAGAAGATATCAAGCGGATGGTCATCACAAGAAAAGAGGCGCCTTTTCTTGATGGGATGGAAGATTTGTGGAAACAACCTTATCAACCTGAAAAGTTGGAAAGGATTATATATGATTGGTGGGAAAGTAGTGGATACTTTCTTCCTAATAACGACTCTTCAAAGACTCCGTTCACTATATCCATGCCACCACCTAATATAACAGGAGCCTTACATATGGGACACGCAGTATTTGTCACTCTTCAGGATATTCTTGTTCGTTATTATAGGATGCAACAATATCCTGTTTGTTGGATACCTGGAACGGATCATGCAAGCATTGCAACACAAACTTTGGTTGAAAGAATGTTGAAAGCACAACAAGGAAAGACAAAGGAAGAAGTAGGAAGAGAAAAGTTCCTTGAATTGGCATGGCAATGGAAAGAAGAAAAAACCAAATATATTACTCAACAGTTGAGAGCTATGGGAAGTAGTTGCGATTGGTCTAGAGAAAGATTTACGATGGATGAGCAATTATCGAAAGCAGTGGAAGAAGCATTCATTCGTCTTTATGAAAAGGGATATATTTATCGCGGTCATTATTTAGTGAATTGGAGTCCACTATTGCAAACTGCAGTTAGTGATTTGGAAGTAGAATGGGTTGAAGAGGATGGGTTTCTATATTACTTCAAGTATTGTTTTGCTGATAATCCTGATGAATATATTCCAATAGCAACGACACGTCCAGAAACTATCTTAGGTGATGTTGCTATTTGTGTGCATCCACAAGATGTTCGCTACAAGAACAGAATAGAACAACAAGTAATTGTTCCTTATATAGGACGTAGAGTTTCTGTGATAGCTGATGAAGCGGTGGATCCCAACTTTGGAACAGGAGCTTTAAAGATTACACCGGCACATGATCATTTGGACTATGAAATTGGCAAAAGACATGGACTTGAGCTGATCAATATTATGAATTGGGATGCAACTATGAATGATAATTGTGGTTGTTTTCAAGGTTTAGATAGAATGGAATGTCGTCTCCAGTTGTGGAATTGGATGGAATCTCAAGGACTTGTGTTGAAAAAGGAGCCTTATCGTATTCGAGTTCCTCGCTCACAACGAAGTGGAGAAATTGTTGAGCCACTCATTTCATTACAATGGTTCGTTAAGACAGCATCTTTAGCATTGCCTGCCATGCAAGCTATTCAAAGTGGAGAGATTCGAATTATTCCTTCCCGTTTTGAAAAAAATTATTTGCGTTGGATGGAAAATATTCACGATTGGTGTATTTCAAGACAACTATGGTGGGGACATTCTTTACCTGTTTGGTATTTGGAAGATATGGAAACAGATTCTATGCAAGATTCTTTTGTAGTTGCTCGCTCGGAAAAAGAAGCCTTGGATAAGGTTAAAGCAAAATATCCAAACTATTCAGAAAAGATTCGAT